AGCTTTTGGCAACCGGTTTGCGTCAAACAAAGTTAGGAATGTTCATTGTTGCTCTTTGTAGGCCCATTAGACCGAAAAATGAGCGTTTTCCGACGGCAAAAATTATTTGTACGGTTAATAAAAATCTTTCTTTTGCGCTGTATAAGCACCGAAAAATATGAAACTACATCAATGGATAGAAGGGAGCGCGGGCTACATTTTGGTAAAAAAATACGTTTGAAAAGCTTTTTCCTTAGAGTGAAAACGCGACTTTAAGCCAAAAGTGCCATACTCTTCAATGTGACTGCTCCATCTGAGGTATGAGTGACTGAAAAATATTCTGATTAAGCCATTCGAAAGAGCGTCCAAAACTGAGTAAGATAAATATAGTATGGAAGTTCAGTGAGAGAATTTAACCCATCTTTTAATATTTTGGATGTTGAGGCTATTTTTGAAATATCTTTTCTGCACGGAAGGCTAAATATTTGTTGGATATCTTTGCGTCATCGTATAGTCAAGTAGTTACTGTATATGGATATGAAAAGAGAAATGTAGACTTTTAAGTTCAGAAAGAAAAACGGGTTTCTGAACGACAAAATCGGCTTTCCACCCATAAAAAACATTTTCCATCAAAAACTAACGTCATATTCGTGCTCAGCATCGAAGACTGCGTTTAGTGATGTGTCGCTCGAAGTTTAGTAAAACGTTTGCTTCCGCAAAAATTTTACTTGTCAAAAATGCCTTTGTTCCGCTGTCAAGTGTTTAGTATCTATCACAAAAACAGCAAATCTTATTTTTAGATGAAACAGCTTATAATACATTAAAATTACGCCCTAATTTCTCATAACGCGCTTTGGGATTAACTAACGCTTTTTAACCGTATCTTCCGAAATTAAAAGCGCGTTTATATTGGATCGCATCGAAAGGTCAAAAAATATGTCTTTGAAGCGTTAATGCATTTTAAAACATTGTTTCTGCATCAACAAAACGTTTTACAACGCGTTCACAATTCGTCTAGAAAATTTTAAAAACTTTTGCAGCATTTTAATACCTGTGTAGATACGTGACATTTTAACAAACTTTGACTCATAAAGACATATTTTTATTGATGTTGCGACGGGTACCAGTGGTGCGGTGCTATTTTAGTTCTTAGACGAGTTTTTGATCTCGGACGGTAACGTAAAAAAAAAGTAACGCTAGTTAATCCCTAACACGCGTTATAAGAATTTAGTGTATTTTTAATGTATTGTAATATGTCTAAAATGTTATAAAATTTTGTTGACAAGTCTAAGCGCGTTTATGGTTTGCGTGCAGAAACAACGCATTTTAAGCATTATGTAAAGCAAACAGTACGCTTTCCCTAACACGTTCATTAAAATGCATTCAGATGCGTTTGAGTCAAATAAAACGCGTTTTTGAAATGCAGTTGAGCTTGAAATAGCGACTTTTAAAGTTTTTATCATCTGAAATAAAAAGCAGTATAAAAGACGGTAGAGTTAAATTCAAATCCAAATTGTAAGACTAAGTGCAAGAGTGAGTACTAAAACCTGATGAAGATTCAAAACGCCTGCAACTGCTGAGAATGTAATGGTAAACATCTGTGAGCTTTAACTGGATGTGTTAGATCAACAATCTCTGATGAAAGAGCTTCGTGGACCCTGGGAGTTAGCTTACTCTTTTTTCAAGTATCAGATCCCTAGTAAAACTTCTTCTTAATCTTATTCACACAAAAGTATTAACTTATGACTTGCACATAATATGACTGGTCCACCTATACCGTATCATCTTCGAATTTCTGAATAAAATGAAAAATCAATTTATAGAAAATCATGAATTTCTAAAACGCCAGAAAATCTACGAGCATTTTATAAAACACAGACGAACAACGGTGATGAGATGGCAGAAGGAGAAATGGACGTTGTATACTCTTGCATTCTTGTGTACTTTGCCTGCATTATTAAATATTTACCAATGCACATGCTTGGCGGAGTAAACTACCGTAACCTTCAATACTATAGACAAGTTTTAATTCATGTTCTTGTTGTAAGTGACTTAGTGTACAACCTCCATATACAATGTAGAGTCGAACACTGTCGTTGTAATAGATATCTGTTTCTTCGATGTGAACATCTTGATGAAACGTCGATAAGCGAAGTAGATTTATTTGAGGTGGTATTATCAACGATGGAGGAGAATAAATTTGACCTGACGAAAACGTGATCATGGTGAAATAGATGAACATTAGGTGACGGGCTTCTCTCATTACAGATCTAATTAGTGATCAGTTTAATCAATAGAAATATACATACATTCTTGCTAGGAGAGAGAGACAAGTTTCTATTTAATTTCTTATTTGTTCTTTCAAGGGTTCATTTCAAGCTTGAGTATAAAATTATATATCCGATTTTTCAAGTTTGCAAAGCTAGTAAATAAATGAATGAGTGAGATTTTATTAATCAATGAATTATGTACGATTTCAGTTGAATTACTCATTTAAGCTTTTCATCCTTTCGACGTATATATTTTCTGAATTTTAGAATGAAACCAAGACACTTTGAATTGCAAATCCGTAACGTTATCACTGAGCCAACTTGCCATCGGAGAATGTAGAATAAATTTTATACTTATGCCTGTCGATCAATTTTCACAATATTTCACGCGTGGATCTTTCTACGAATTTTGCTTAAAAAATTCTGAGATTTATAGGTGAAAAATCACACGGGTGATGAATTTTAACACTGTATATGGTATATTAGAATCCCTCAGCTGTATGAGTAATTTAAACGTGGGTGCTAAAAATTCAAGCGGGAAAAGGCTCACTCTCTGAAGTGGCAAAGTACCGGAGCGGCTCGAAGTGGCTTGGAGTGGTTCGGAATGCTGTGGGTTTGAGGAAACCTAAGGAATTTTATTCATCTTAAAGCTAAATCAGAGGCTTCGGAATTAGCAAAGTTGTCTTTCTCTATCCTTTTACTCAACAGGTCTGTAACATTAGTACGTTTCAATTTTTACAATATGAAGGACAAATGGATTTTGATAAATTCCAGTATTTAAGGGTTTTGAGTGCAGTTCTGTCCAATGGCTAAATCGAAATAATTTTAAAGTGCCGGGAGTAGAAATCTCAGAAAACCACGGTTGTTCACTCATCCATTTCCAGAAAATAACTTATTTGGGACTTTTTCTTCTATGCATCTACTCAGAACTGGATTTCTTTTAATATAGAAAGATGGAGACTTTTCCACGCTACAAAACGAGACGCCGCGTAGCTCCGCGCGACATTTTTTCATGAAACAACATTCAGTTTATAAAAATGTTTGAAGAAATGTCTTTCTTGTTCTGCCGTTAATTTTGGCGGTGTGCGACCTGTTATATATTAAGTGTTGTTTCATGAAAAAATATCGCACAGAGTGTGATGACTTCTCGATTTGTTCGAAAATGGTGCTCTACACGACTGGATAATTCATAAAGAATTCCTTGTTCGCATTCTGCGATTTAGTTTTCTGACATTTTGATTTTTCAGCGATCCTGGCTTTAGGACTTCTGATAGAACCTTCACGTACACCACATCAGACTGGAAACTCTTTCGGCTATTCAAAGCTGTTCAACTAGGCACAAGTGTTCGATCAGGAACACTTTTTGAGAAGATACTCGTTTATGATCCGATAGATTAGCGTGAGTAGTATTACTATTTCGCTTAATAATAGGCTTCCGATACAACTCTCATAACTCTTGATTAAAATATGATTCAGAACCTGGAGATATCTGATTTTGATCAGAAATGTTTGCTGTATTTCTCGGTGTTATTGAATGTATGCTTAGATTTGTTTTCTCATCGAGAAGTAAATTTTTTTCGAAAAGTGAGCTTTTCAAGGTTTTCAGAAAACTTTTTTAAGAACCTCCGTAACCCTTCGAAGAGGACCAAATAACAATGGATCTTGATAGCAGATACTGTGGACTGTCTGACGATGTATTAAGCGCAATACCAACTTTTTATAAAACATTTTATGTTTCTAACGAGGGGTGTCGGCTTAAAGCGATGGTACATCTTCATTGAGAGAAATATCACTACTTAATTCCAAAAGAAAAAAACACACTCCGCCACTCCAGACCAATTTACGGAGTGCCACAGCGGGGTGGAGTGTGTTTTACTCCGCGGAGTAGCTGGAGTGCGCTTTTTCCCCCTTGTAAAAATTGTACAGTTATTATCAAATAAATAAACTTTCGCGATCAAACAGCTGTGCCCTAAGAACCTTTGCACAGAGCTTCAGGTACCTCTGAACTAATGAGAACATTTGTGACGGCAGAAGCGTCACATGTATGTTTTCGTGAACTGTTCACGTCTGGCCACAGACGGGTAACTTTTTCACACGCGGTCACGGCTGTTATTTTTTTCTGAACTGTGCACTGATTAATTATCTATTGTTTTTCGTTTTGTGTCAGTCGGAATCAATTAAGTAAAACATATTTGTGATACCAATTAAGAATATAAGTTTGCGACAAATCATGAAGACACTGTATATTTAGATTTCTGTGATGATGAATGAACTTTATTCAAAAGCTTAAATGAGTAATTCAACTGGAATCGTACATAATTCATTGATTAATAAAATCTCACTCATTCATTTATTTACTCGCTTTGCAAACTTGAAAAATCGGATATATAATGTTACATTCAAGCTTGAAATGAAATCTGAAGATCTTTTTGAGTTATATCTCTGACTACTTTCAGTAGTTAAAAACAGTTTTTGATAATGATGCATTTGCTTTTGTTCTGAGATGATTAGAGAAATTTCACAACAAATAAGAAATTAAATAGAAATTCCTCTCTCTCTCTCTCTCCTATAGGAGAATGTGTGTATATTTAAAATCCATCTTGTGTGCATGATTCATGAAATAATCTTGACATCTGTTGTGAAGTAGAAAAGAATTTCCTTCAGAAATGAAATAGTTTGCGAGCACATGTGAGAAAATCTTCACAATAACGAGTCTATAATATTTAACCGTAAAACGAGTGATGAAAATAATATCTGTCTTGAGCATCGTCTTATTTATTCTGACTGACACAGCATTAGATTAAACATTATACACCTTTTTAAAAAGTGGAATTTTTCATCTTTTTTCGTTAAAGGTTTTTGTCTGAAGTGGCAAGATTTGTTGTCGACAAAATCACCAATTTGTTTTGTTGATTCCCTACTATATATATGTTACATAATATAACTCAATACTATACATATAGATGTCTTTAAAAAGTCTTTTAAATCTCATAAGATTCTTGTCGAGAGACAATCGAGTCTTTACATGTGCCTGTACTGGCATCAGAGCGTCTAGCTCCTATATATACGAAAAGAAAAAGAAAAGAAGACGAAAAATGGATTGTATATGCATTCTATGTATTTGCAAGATTCTTTTAAGGATTACAAGACAAGATTCGTACAGGAAAAAATGAGACAAGAATCTTGCAGGAAATCGCTTTCTTGTGCATTCAGACAAGAATCCGTCTCGCAATTCTTGTATGAACTCACAAGAAAGCGATTTTACACTATGTGAATGCTGCTACAGGTTTGCTAAAATCTATCAATATTCGTATGCAGCATTCACATAGTGCAAAATGGGTATTTTGGGTTTATCTTCCATATGGTTTGGACTATAGCAAGTCCAAGGATACCAATCGATAGAGCTCGTCGAGTTCTACTTGAAACCGGACTGGAACAGTTCCTAAACGAATATGGGAAGGTTTTACTCGAATATGGTGCTAACTTCACCTACGTCATCTTTCTTTTCCTTTCTGTCATATGGTCGAGATATCTTTCTTTCGTTTATCGTAGAGTGGTTGCTTTAAAGTAGAACAGAAATACTCGATGAGCGTAACATTTTCTTCATCCTGATCTTATTCTTGAACTTTTTTCAAAATTTGTTTCACTATTGTGTAGCTGAGAATCTCAGGAATCGAATGAAATCAAAATTTTTTAGTTTATCAGTGTTTCATATTCATGAATACCAGTGTTTCTATTCTAAATAAATCCGGTATTTAATAAGAACAGAAATGAAGTGTAGTGTATTATAGGAGCCAGAACTCACTCATCTGGAATGGTAAACTAAAACTTTTTGGTTTCATTCGATTTCTGAGACTCTCAGCTACAAAACGACAACCGGTACTCATGGCCGCTTGAGCCGCCGACAATCGCTACTTGTGATCGTTAAGCCGCCAACAACCGGCACTCATGACCGACAACCGCGCGGTCAGCGTTTTCTTTTTTGTGCTTGGGTATTGTTATTCACCGTTTTATTTTGCAGTAAACTATGTATATAAGAACCACAATTTCAACGAAAAATACACTTCTATTTAAATCATCTTTTATTTTAGAGTAAAACGGAGTTGTCAAGAGTCTCCGAAACTTTTTTTGAGCCGGTATAGTAGATTTATAGTACTCCTTCACTAGTATATACCCACCAAAATCTAGATTGGAAACATTATTAGTAAATAATGCCAGACCATACAAAAAGTCATTAATGCTGTGAAATAGTGATGCCAGAGTATTAATCTCGACACATGTGTCAAGATTAAAAAATTTATTTCCGATCAATGAAACACCCCTATAGGCTAAAACTTTCAGAATATACTGAACTTTAGTAAGGCTACAAAGTGGCAGCATCAGAATTAAGTTTAAAAACAATTAAGCACGCTGGGTCGCCGCTATTGTGCAACAACTCCTAGGATCGTAGCAGCGGCATCCCTTGGCCATTACGTCATTATCTAAATCTAAAACACATGAGAAGAATTGAAATAAATATGTAATCGGCTCTTGTCTTGTGAAAGACAATAGTAGTCTTGACAGCAATTGGCATACAATGCAGCATCCTATACATAAGCACCATCTATCGCTATCAGGCTGACAACCATACAGAAAATATTCTAACTACAATTTTACAAATCTGTTTTTCTGCGAACAAGACCAGAAACGTTCAAAGATAGAAACATACATGGAGATAGTATCGTATCTCATTGGTGTTCTGACGACTAACAAAATAATCGGAATTTTCTGGAAGACAGGAGAAAAAAGTTATCCATTGTCAGAAGAATACAAAAATACGTCAAAAGTTAGGTACACTCAATGTATAAGCAATCAAGTTACTAACACTACTAAAACAGACCACTTTGCTCACGCTTAGACTACCGATCATCAGAAAGACTGGTTCAAATTGATTAATTCAGATAACTTCTGACATGATTGAAAAAGTCGATACTTTTATAGATTGAGCACATCCGCACTCTCAGTTCCAGACGAAGATGAATCGTTAACAAGTCATAAACATTGCAATATGGTATGAGGACTGACGGCTAAGTGCATCCGCTATAGTGCCACTAAAACATATAGGATATTCAAAATTCGAACTGAAATTCATTGGATGAAAATTTTAGATTTAAATTAGTTTCAAATAATATTTCATTTCCTCATATTTCTTTGTTATGCTCACACGCGGCTACTGAAGTCTCTGATGAAGGCGACACTAACAGACTGTCTTGAAGATTTGTTGTGAAGTAGCTCAGCGTGTGAGCATAACAAAGAAATATGGGGAAATGAAATGTTATTTGAAGCTAATTTAAATCTAAAATTTTCATCCAATGAATTTCAGTTCGAATTTTGAATATCCTATATGTTTTAGTGACATTATAGCGGATGCACTTAGTCGTCAGTCCTCATACCAATAACGGACCATTGTAAAAAAATTATGGAATTTTTTATTTTTAATTAGTCCACTATAGCAAGCATCTCCCAAGGTTTTTGATGTCTTAAAGTCACTTCTCTGCCTGTAGCAAAAGTATATTATCACGAACGAATGCCTAGTCCTTCCAAGCACTAAACTACCTACTACATTGACATTAGTAGTACACAAAACGCGATTGAGTATCTCTCTTCTAACCTATATAGTTCGGTTTTTCAAATATAAATCAGCTTCATTCTATAGGAAGACATTATTTGCCGCTATCTGAATGAGACTTGTACTAGTTGACTGTTTGAATAACTCACATAACTAGTTACAAACATGAAAAAAAGAATGGGATACCAGTAAAAGTAGGTTTTTGTGTATCTGGCGGAACATGCATAAAACAGCTCAAAATTATTCACATTTTTCGTATAGCTGTTTGTTTTCCTGTCTATAAAAAATAGACTTTTTGTACTTGAAAAAGAGAAAGTAAGTGCTCTTATATATATTTTGTTCTACAGTTTCAGATCTAATATTCATTTATATCTACATCGCTATACTATCACCTGTTAAATTATGACTAGTGTACATGAACAATCACAATATTCATCAAATATAAATAATTCAGCATCAGTCGATGCTAAAAATGATCGTGAGCAAGCACCTGGTGATACAATTATAACAAAACCAAGTGATAATACAGTGGGACAAAATGATGGGAATAAAACCTGTGGACGTTTAGGTAAATACATATATTACAGGGTTTCGAGAATACATGAATAGTTCTCTATTTGTGAATAACGTGTTCTTTGACATATGAAGGAAACAGTGCTTATTGAACAATTAATAACGGGTTTTATTTTCTCGTCATCTCTGGGTCATTTTATCAGGCTTGCCTTATTGTATTTAGGTTGTGATCATTCGAAATGTACAACGTCTGTTGGTGGTCAACATGAACTTAAATAACGTCGACGATCGATAATCATTGTGATAAACAATTTTTTCTCATGTTTGATAATATATCGAGCAAATATTAAAAAACGTATAGTTAATCAAGCAACAATTTAAAATTGTTTGCACTTGTTTTTTTGTATTTTGATCCCAATGTGTATACAGTACCAGTAATGATTATAAAGGACAGCGTTCAAATCTACTTCTCTCCGTTATCCTGACTAATATACAGGCTTGAATAAGGAAAAGTTTATGTGACTCTAGAGATTCGAGTGTGCTCTATCCGAATATGTAATTAGATTTGCTCAGTAGGACTGACAAGTTTGAGAAAAATATTGTTTAACAAAAACGGTCGAATTTTCTCTGAATACAATTACAGGGACAATATAGAGTTTAGATATATAAAACAATATTTTTCTCAAACTTCTCAGTCGTACTGAGCAAATCTAATTACATATTCGGATAGAGCACACTTGAATCCCTAGAGTCATATAGAATTTTCCTTATTCAAGCGTGTATATTAGTCAGGGGAATGGAGACAAGTAGATTTGACTTCATGTCCCTATAATTGTGACCAGTACTGTTTTTGTATGTTAATTTTTTTTTGTTGTTATTTGAAAATAAAATTTAGCTGATTTACTTACTAGTGCTGCAAAAATTTCTCCTACGGCCGAAATTATTTTTTGTTTTAACCATAGCTCGGCAGAGAAGTGGTCTTTTAACAAACGGTTTTTATCAAAATGTTGCCCATTCGTCCGAGTTTATTTGTGGAAAAACAACTTTTCAAATATCGGTTATTTTTGTCTGTAAGTCGACATCAATGCTCAGGTATCTTTCGAAGAGCTGCAGAAATGATGTAATTGATTTGTTGAGCCATCATGGAAGTTTAAAGCTATGAAAACTATGCCAGCCAAAAGCGGAGAGAATAACGGACATTTTGACAAAAAACCTTCTCGGGGCAGGCAGACCGATTTTAAAGTAAAGTTCACATGGTCAACATGCAAACTCTGCACTTCAGTAATGAATGGATGGAAATTTTTTTTAAACATATCAATGGGAACATATCGAAAACTGCGTAAACGGTTGAGTTAAAATTTGAGGAAAAAAATGTGATCCATTTTTTTCGTCTGTTTGTTATGAACCCCATTGTCACGAACTCATTTTTGCTGATTTTTAACTTTTATTATTTATGTTTTTAATCCAAATCAATAACATATGAAAATCAGCAAACAAAAATGGATCGAAAAGTAAAGTCTTAACGATTTTCTAAAAGACTATTTTTCCAAACCGAGTGAACCGTACAAAATATTTGATGCAGCTTTTTTCTGGAAATACGTGTTTTTATTAGTCAAAATATGCGAATTTTCCGTGACAGTTAATTCTGAACAAGGTAAATCAATCAAATTTTTTTCAGAAAAATCGATCTGCGCACTATGAAAAAGTTTTTTTACCAAAATATTTGCTATTCTCTCTGCTTTCGGCTGGTATAGTTTTCATAGATTTAAACTTTTGGCAGGTCAAAAAATTAATTACATCACTTGTACGGAAAATTTTTGCAGCTCTTCGAAAGGTACCTGAGCATTGATGTCGACTTACAGACAAAAATAATCAATATTTGAAAAAAGTTGTTTTTTCACAAATATACTCGGAAGAATGGACAACATTTTGGTGAAAACCGTTTGTTAAAAGACCACTTCTCTACCCAGTTATGGTTAAAACAAAAAATAATTTGGGCCGTAGGGAATGTTTTTTTAGCATTAGTATTTCTGTTCAGTACATTACGGCCTGTCCACGTAAAAGTCTGCTTTTACATGGGCTCATTGGAGCGTTATCATATCTCTGAGAAAAGTACTTTTTCTGCAAAAGTAGCCTTTTCTGGAATCAGTATAACTCTTAAATGAGCCCAGATGATAGATTTTGTTTGCTTATCATATTAAAGAAAACTGTACAAGCTACAAAATAAGACATTCGCCGACTCCGTACGCTACTTGCTTGAAGAGTTGTGAATGTTACAAAACATAACAGATTCATGCTTTTTTTTGGTAGCGTTATGTGGACAGGCTGATTAAAGCGTTTTGCATCATATTTTATAAATAAATAATAGTGGATTAGAAATTTGCAACACGTGTATTTTTGATGGTTTTTCTTGAACGACAATTAATTTAATTTAAACATGTAAAGTGAAACGATAGAGGAGATCTTCTGTTCGAAACAAATTTTTTTTATTCTTAGGTGAAAAATAGGTATTTTAATCATATAGTATCCCACTCCGATTTGTGAAGAAACGTTACTCAGCTTATGGGTGAACAGTTACAGGTTTTTGATCTCTCTTCTATTTTGATCTGTCTACAAACTGAATACGTTATTAAGTTCTCATTATCTTTAAAATACGTCGCAATCGTTCGTTCACCTCAGCAAAATTTTGGAAAAATTAAAGATACCTACTTGTTCTAAATAACAAGGTTTTTATTTATTTTCCAATGAAAAAAAGAGCTGTAGGATACATGTAACTCTAAAGTGTAAAACTTCGAAATATTGAAAAAGTATTCAAACTATTTTCTTCCCTTGTTCAAGACAATTATTTTCCCTCTTTCTTTTTCATTTGCATTAAATGAATAAAGTCATACGAGTATTCATTTCAGAATAGAATACAGTCGATTATTTCTTTAGTACGGACGAACGATAACGATATTCCGACATCAGCCAACTTGAACGCCTGTTAATCTTGAGCATAGATTATTCTAAATATCTTGGCAACTTTCTTATTGAACTTTATTTTTCCTATTTATTACGTTATAAAAGAATGCATTAGGTAGGTATGCACCGGTGAATATCCGAAGAAATATCTTCGCCGTTTTGTTTTATAGAAAGGAGATGCTATAGGATTGAATCCGCTTATGAGAAATTTCTTGTTTTGCTTGTTTTCATTGTTTTGTATTTTAATGACTTTCTTATGATACTGCCGACTACTCAGACCCGCTTCATCCGATTGATCGGTTTTTTGACACTGCCCAAAACTCCAGTTGTTCATCGGATCCCTCGATTCAAAAGCTGATCCTTGTCGAAACGAGTCAGTTCTGAGGAGATCATGAAGAGCATTCTGGGCGCGTATCCCAACAATATTAATTAACTGAAACAAAGAGACAATTGTCGAAATTTTGGCTTGACTCCAAATACTGTCAATCAAGCAGTGCTTGACGTCAGTCATACTTGACTATTGCTACAAGTTTCGTTTTTTCTTTACAGAAATGCGTAAATAAGAGTATGACTACTTTTTAGAAAGTAAGAGGCGTTTCTTGTCTTGACAACAAGAAAAGAACGTGACGTCTCGTGTTTGCGGCACGTGTCACTAACACCCACTCCCACCTACATCTAACTTCTCTAGGCAGTGTTACTTTTTGAAAAATAAACAACAGGTAAATCAAAAAAATTTTATAATATAAAAATAAAATTTTCTACAATTCAACAAGCATACTTGAAGCCAAGCAGTGTTTGTCTTACAGTACTCCAACTCCAGTTGTTCATCGGATCCCTCGATTCAAAAGCTGATCCTTGTCGAAACGAGTCAGTTCTGAGGAGATCATAAAGAACATTGTGGGCGCGTCTCCCAAAAACATTAACCGAAACAAAGAGACAATTGCCGAAATTCATGTTTATTATACACTTGGTGGTAAAAATGCGATTGTAACGTGAGAACGACAATAACCAACGCTTTCAAAAGGCGTAGGGCCTTTCAGAAGTTTTGTGGAGGGCTCAGAATAGTTGCATTTTGTTCAAAATTAATCACTCTATCAATGGAGATAGCTCTGGAGTCATTTTCTCGTGAAAAAGTTTCCTGATGGTTTTTTTAGAAAACCGGTTTTATAACTTCCAGAAACCTTTTGAAAATTATGCCATTAAATTCTACGATGTTTTTTACCTATATCTCCAAATTTGTATCGAAGTTGAAGTGAAATTGACTATTTTATTGCAAAAAGACTTGCCCGATTCGACGGAATTTTCGACCGTATTTACGAAAAATGTAACATCTCATGAACTAAAAAAGATCTCGTGAAAAGGATGCTTAACTTTTTTCGTGATGTTATGTCGGGTATAATTATGTGGAAGTATCGGCTTCATTTCTAATCGGTCGAAAGGTGATGCATTCGGCAGAGACGAAAGCGGAGTTCGTCTCTCCGCAAACTTTTAACTCTGAAGGTCTTAGGATTCGTATGAAACATCGAAACTATGCTTTTTAGGTACAATTTCGACGTAGAATAAGAATAGAATATTTTTAACATTTCGAAAGTAGAATAACTGAAAAATTTTCCCTTGTTTCCAAAGATTCAACCGTTTTTAAACTTGTTTTTTCAGATTTTTGGCCCTGAAAATTTTTTTCCGAAGATTAAAACACATATATTCTTACTCAGCTCGACAAGCTCTATCCAACTATATATAAATTTCGAAAAAATAACATGCGTTCGACATTTTTGATAACAAATTTCTAAAAAATATGCTTTTGTAGAGAATTGAATTCTCTACAAAATAGCGTATTTGTTTTTGAGTTTACTTGCTATGTACAATTTGTACATAGTTGTACAGTTCCGACCTACTGTCCAATTTTTCAGCTCTTATTTTGATACAGCAACTTGATTTTTGCACAGATCGATCAAATATACAAAGAACACAGGAAGTTGTGAAAATCAAAACTTTACCATCGTGTTAAGTGCCTCAAATATACTTGACAAAAAAGTGCGTAACGCCGTGACGAAAAACGTAACGCTGTGACGCTTACATTTTGTGTTTTTCAGGCAAATCTAATAACCTAGGTGAAACATTTTTTTTCTATTAGAAAGCCCGTGAGCTGCTCTACAGGATCGGTTCAAGGAATGTTCCGTTTGGAGAACTACTTTCGCAGCAAATCAGGATTTTCGTAGCAGCATTCTTAAAAAAAGGGTCTTTTTTCGTAACGCCGTGACGCAACACCCAAATCCATCTCAAAGCCCAGTGCAACATCCAAGAAACTTCGTGTTCACAGCATAAGTAGAGCATGATGAACTGCGTCGATTGATGTTTGAACGAACTTTCTAGCTACTTTAGTTTCCGAGATAACCAAAGTTTAGTGCGTCAAAAACATAACGCCGTAACGTTTGGACAAGCCGCTGAAAAGAAAAAACTTAACCAGAATTCACTAATGAATTCAAATCAGCCATTTCAGACTTTCATTGGAAAGACTCTATCTATTTTTGTTTTGAATAGTGTTAAACTCATTATAATGCGTTTCATTTATTTGTGAGATACAATAGAATAATACATTGTAGTGCATTAGATATTAACGTGTCACGGTACATCCATCTATGCTGTTCGAATTGATGATACAAACAAAAAAACAATAGTAAGAAGATTATTTGTCAACAAAAATAAGTCGCTAACAGACTACAACAATACACATCTGACATCGATCAAACATCACAAATGGAACAACAATAACGTTGTCTAATCGTATCAATTTTATGACAATGAACTATATAACAGAGAAATGTGTGAATGGGTTAACAATAATATTACAAATAAAGTCGTTCGTCTCTGTTCATTTAGTTCAATAAGTGAGCATTGAGAGTGATCATACTATCGACTATCGCGTGGCCGTGACAGTAATATAAATATTTATTATTATCATTAATATTACTTAAATTAAACAAAAAAAAACAACAACAATAAGAAAAAGTCAACCAGAGACTGATACGAAACACACTTTAAGCGCATACATAAGAATATTCTGACAAGAATAGTGAAAAAAAGCATACATTTACAAGTAGCAACACTAACGTATCATCAAAACAAATAAATTTTGATTTTTTACAATGAGATACAAAAACAATAACGTAGTAGCAAATATATCTGTAATTAGTTATTTATATCATTTCACACACAAAGAAACTATAGAAAAAAAGATGTGTGTGTGTGTGTGTATATATATATAAAACTGGCAGCAGTCAAAGGTCATGAAGAGAACAAAAAAAAAGAACGAACACTACGCATATGAAAAAGACAAGTACATTAGAAATATGATATTCGGAAAGGCACATAACATACAAAATGAAAATACATGCAAGAAAAACACAACGATTGTCTGGCCATACACAATTTGAATTTACCATGAACTCATTTTATTTAAAGCCATAAAATAAATCTGACATGATGAGCCGGTACGAATCGATGAAAAGAAAACTTTATCATTTTTCTCGCATAAATACCTAGAACACACACACAAAAAAAAAAAGAACACATAGTTTAAAGGGTCATTTTTTAATTGAATAAAAGCGCCAGTAATTGATTCTCCATTCTAAGTTTACAATTAAATATCGTTTCAACAACAACAAAGAATGAATCATTGTCACGCGACCATTTCCAAATGATTCACGCCATTTTCGCCAAAGGTTTTTTGTTGTGATTTTTAACTTAAATTCTATCCGCTAAAGGTGAACATACCATTCGAAAATCACAAAATTATGTATGTGTTCACAGGCTTTCTAGAGACCGCTTTTTACAAAAAGGATAGAGTTTTATAATTCATTTCTCTACAGATTTATTTCTTATAAATATCATATACGATGCACTAAACAGTGTATATCCTGGAGTTTTTAACTCATTCTGATGTTTCTTGATTGAATAGTGAATTTTTTAGTATTAGGTGAAAAGAGCCTGAAAATCCTGATTTTTTGTAAAACTCGGTTTTCACAGGCTTTTGTATTTGTTTTCGACAAAAAAGATTGCTGAAAGATTCAGCGTTGTTGTTAGATGCCGTGTCATAGCTGCGACATATGGAAAAACCTAGTTTTAAATTCACAAAAGACGCTGCCAGGCTCCGTTAAGTTTCCCATTGATACATATTGTAGAGCGCAATTTTTCCATGCACAACATGAGTTGGATTCTCTTTTACTTATCAGAAGAAAGGACCGAAACGGTCATACAGTCTTCGACGTTAGATACCAGTTGACCAAAAAATCTTTTTCTCTATACCCAGCTGGTTACTAAGGAGTCCTTAGTAAGGACGAGTCATACACAGTTTTTCATTGCCTATCTTTCAATACCAGGCTTTATCTTATCTCCAATTTAGACTTTGGAAAAAATCATATTTTCGCGAATCTTAATGCATTTGATACAGTGTCACCACAAAAATCACAACAAAAAAATGCGTACACACATTTTCTCTACAAACTCCGATTGAAAGTAACTAAAAAGTACCGGTGAAGGAGATTTTGCTTAAAATTGGTTCCTGTTCTTCCGTCTTTTGACACGGGCGCTTCGCTAAAATATTTGAAAAATTGACGGTAGAATCTTGCCACTTATAAGTAAGGCATTTTATTTATATCCCGGCAACCAGGACATATAAACACAAAATCCTTTTAGGCTTGACTTGTTCCATGTCTATACTTACGAGGAAATCTATCCAAGTGATACCTTCTGATTTCGTTCGTTCATAAGTCGAACGATAGAGGATATCGAGCTAGTAAAAAGCCTAAACGCGAAAAAAGCTTTGAGCTGATATTGAACATTTAGGGCTTTTCTTGCAAATTCTATAACTTTGCAAAGAAAGATTGCGCAGAGCTGGGAGATGTCTCATTTTAATCAGAAATTTGCGGGCTGCAATTATGTCTCATTAAGAAACGTTTTGATTATTTTTTAGAGTTTCTGAAAAACTGATTTTCCAGAAAACTGGGTCTTCAAGAGTCATGGGGAAAATGCTTTTTAGTTGCTTCATACCCTCTATCGATCGACATATGAACGAACAAAACTTGGGTAGGTTTTCTCGTTAGAGAGTAATTGTTTCTAATTATCGGCAGAATATGAGCGAAAACGAGGTGAATCATCTAAAAATGGTTTGTCTAAAACCATCAGTATTATCTCTGAATTTGTGATAGAATCTGTTACATACTTTAACTTTTGTGCTCGTTTGTGCATAAATACCCCGTCTAATGCTCCAGTATCAACATTTCTAATTTCAATTGCTTTATTACCCCAACCCATTATTTTACCATTTGATATGTAGGCTAGAGAACGATCAAGAACTGTCAAAATATAAACTGTCTCATTTTATCTCTCTATAGTTCTTACCGACAGATGTAGGCAATTCTCCCCATTGTAAAACAATATTTTTTGTTCGCTTTCCATATGTATCACAATAAACACCTTCATCTAACATAAATATATCCACACAAATAGAAAGAGATTATTTAGATGAGACAATAAACTTACTGTTATAGCAAAGTAATAGCTGCATTCCATTTGTATTCGGTAATACAACAATGGCATGTGGTTCAACAGCATCATGAAACTAAAAAACAAAAATTAAAACAGTAAGTAAAGCTTCTAGTATTATATGAATTGTACATTATCACTTACGTTAGACGGTATATAAATATCAATGAAATTTGTTGAATCTAAATCAATTGCATGAAATCCATGACATGATCCATAAACAACTTTTAAACGAGAGCCTTCTTCGATTGTTAAATCAACTAATAATGGTCGATATTGCAAATTGGGGAATAGCTATAAAAAAAAAAAGAAAAAAGATTTAAAGAATTAAAGTGAGTACATGATAAAAGACTTACTTTAAATGTCATAAATTTATGATAGGGTTTTGGTGCCCAAGCATATACTTCAATACTATCACGTAAACCAACAATTAAAAATTTGATACGTTCATATTTAACTAAAACAGATTAAAGGAATATTGAATATCAAAAGTCACTTACATTGTATACAAACTGTTCTATTACAAGTATTTCTAATGAAAAAAATTCCATCATTTCAAAAATTGAATTACCGCGACTATTAATCAAGTTGTTTAGAAAATATGGTCCAAAATGAATTCTACTGTTAGCATTTTCAATTTTTCTCCTCTTCTTTATAATTAATCGAGCAAATTTTTTTAATCAAAATATAGCGCGTTCAATTCTCTAAAAAATATATATTGACTGTTTTATTGAACAATCCGAAGATGGAAAATGAGATAAGAAAGAAGTACGGAAATTCAGAAAAAAATAATGTATTTGCTCATCGAGAGTTACATTTTTTCGAATGGTTCACAAGCATCAGAGCGCGGTACGAGTAGTTTCTTTGTGTAATTTCAAGTATACTCTCTCTCTCATGGTATGCAACAAAATTTGTTTTCTGAGTGAAAATATCCGATGTAAAGACTGACTTGTCAGAAACCGGGCGAAAATAGGAAATGATTTCGACCTTATCTACGTGTGATAACAAAGGTTTTTTTCAAATCTTACCGATTCCGCAATATAGACTAATCATGAGTTTTCAAAATGAAAAAAAAGCTCAATCTGAAAGGATCAAGTTTGACTAGACTATACTTGTTTTATCGAATAATACAAATTCCCGGTCAAAAATCATTATTTTTAGAAAATTTGCAAAAGAAAAAATTGTTACGCTTACGCCCTCAGTTCTAACTGTAAAAAAATTTTAATCATAGGTGGAGGAGAGAGTTTTCCAAGGTCTACACGATAACTACTTCAGTTTTCCTTCCCCCATAAACGTTTAGCGAATAAAACTTAAAAAGACGGTTGTTTAACTTATTTTTTCTGAATTTTCGTACTTCATAAAATTTCTTATCTCATTTTCCATCTTCGGATTTTGCGATAAAACAGGCAATATATATTTTGTAGAGAATTGAATGCGCTATATTTTAGTAAAATCATTTGCTCGATTAATTATAAGAAAGATGAGAAAAATTGAAAATACTAACACTAGAATTCATTCCGGGTTACCAGTTAGCTAGATTATTATACTGTTTCTAACTACATCGATACAACATCTAACATCTTTCAATTTGTCTGTTATTGTAGAAGTGTGGCCGAATACTGTTCAGGTGGTATGGTGGACGAATCAAAGAATTCAAGAAAATAAAAAAATTTTCTCAAACGTTTTTCTCTCCCACACAACTAATTATGTTTACTGAGAATTTATCTATCGTACTATATTTAAAATAGTTCAGAATTTCACTCACACTCACTCTATCCTCAAGAATCGAAATTTCCAGATATTTATATTAAATTTGATTGCCTTCGGTTATTGATTCTACAGTTATTGCCCTTAATACTAAAAATTGTCCTCATCCTCAGCTTCTTCAGGATTGGATCACTAAGATTTTTTTTCTAATTTCTATTCAAGATCTAACAGGCGCTGTATAAAGTCTACAATTTCGTTTAATTCGTTCACTATGTCATCCAAACAAAATTAGATCACTGTTATTGTTTTCGGATGCAAACGTTTGATATAGCAATTTTTGAGCTTTTTCACACTTGATAGACGCAATCTTCTTAATGAATGGTACTGTCATGAATACCAGAAAAAAACACTTTAAAATCAACAACACACTTTAAAAATACTTTTCTTATTCGCTCACGATCTTTACGACAATCGGCATGTTTTCTCCTCATTAAATTTTTGATCTACTCGGTACCACACTTTTTTGAATTCTTCTCTGGAAAAGACTTTAAAGCAAAAATGTCTATTTGCCAAGTTGCATAAAAACCGTTTTTTTTCTTTTTCTTATAAAATCTTTTTAGACTAGTCTCTGCCCAAAATTTAATTTCGTCTATTCCTAAAAAAGCAATTGTCAACTTTGAAGATAACATACCAATTTTAAAATGTACCGCTCCTTCTAATTCACCGATATTTGTAAAGCCTGGTTTACGATCAGTCGGTTCCGTTTTAACAATTTTATTTTTTAACCATGATAAATAATAAATTCGAATTTTATTTCGTTTTCCACTAATTGTTACCAAAATATTTTGATTTTCTAATACTTGTAATTGTTGAAAACGACGACGACTTATTAATTGATAAACTAAATAGATACACAAGTAAAATATTATTAGGAATAGTCGAATAACTAGACATTAATATACCTTTTCCTTGTCCACTACGATCAAGTAACATAAGAGAGTTTTCCGTTCCAATTAATAAATTAACACCTAAAGAAACAAAACAATAGATAAAAGAGAGCAAAGAGATGTAGAGATAATATCGTACCCCAGAGAGCTGCACATAAAATATCTGAATTAAAACGTTTTTTATATTTTCTAATTTCTGGTGCATCGCCACCATTACTGGATAAGGTCAACGTTGAATTGGTCGGTTGAGGAGAAACATTAACATCAATCTAAATAGAGTAAATACATCATTTTTTCTTAATTTAGTCAGATCGTATAGATAAAAGACTACTCACTTGTGATCCTTTTTTTCCGACGATATAATTCTGATTATCTCTTGTAGATAAAAATTGATTTGAATCGATTGATGTTGAAGATGTGATCATTGAAGTGATGTTATGAGTTGGTGTTGTTGATGAAACGATCATTGACGATGCACGCTGAGGAGGTTGCTGAGAGGATGTGAGATGAGCCATTGCTGGTACAGATGAGGGAGATGATAGTTTTGAAGAATTACCAACAGCCAAACGATACTAGAGAAAATAGATAAAGAATAAACAATTTGCAGATAAGAAATGGAATTTGTCATCTACCTCATCTGATGCTGTTTGATCAAGAACTGATGTTGTCGGTGGAATTGGTAATAAATCAGGTAAAACGGTACTTCGACGATTTTCATCTGAATAGACAAGGATAATGAAAAAAAAAACATAGCAAACACACTATCTAAAAAACCTTACTCTGTTCATTCGATAAATTGTTGTTATTATTCTACAAAGAAAGAACGAAAGAAAAAACCAGTAAAGTACAAATCAATCTAAACATATTTCTTCTAAAAATTAAACTAGAGAAAAATACTCTATCATTTGTCATGCAGTTATCCAATGTATAAAAAGTACTAAGCAATTTCACTGGTAGTTGACTTACACATATCAAGCCTTACCATCTCTGTTTTTTCTTTAGCTGACTTTTTTGTTTGTTATTAGCTATTGTTTATCTTTTTTATTTATATATATATTTATATATATTTAAAATGTCTGACCATCTCTATAGTAACAGTACACTTCTACCTTATCTATGATCCGCTCTCTTTAGCACAATGTGTTGAGTACGATGCTTTTTCGACTGCTATGTATGTGTAGTTTTGCTTCTGTTTGGAATAAATATAGATTACACTAATCAAGAAAGAAACAAGAAAATCATAGGAGTTATAAAGCATTTCAATATGTACAGATAGGAACGAATCATATAAATACAAATAAACAAACAAAAGGATATTTTTATGCGAGTTTCATAGTTTCATTTGTGTGTAAGAAAAGAGTTCACCAACAGAAAAGATAAATAGCACAACAGACAGTGACTTTCCTTTACCTTTCGCGCTCTTAACGTATCATCATCTCCGGGCATCATATTATGTTGATTTACATTTGCTGATGACGACGTCAAAGCTTGTTGACACAGTTGACTTACTAAAAATGAGACAAAAGATTGAAATCTCTTTCTAGATAGTAAGGAAAAAAGGTGCATCTTACATCGATGATTGGAAATAACAGCGTCTTGACTAGAAGGATGTTGTTCAATGGATGAAGATGACCAAGAATGATTACCATCAGATGTGGATAAACGTGAACGTTGAGCATTTCTATAAGTATAGAGAACCACTGAAACTATTATACCATTTCCAATAGGGTGAAGTGTGACGCGTGTTAGTAAGCATTATAACTTAACAGTTACACACTTTAATTCGTCGTAAAAAACAGAAACAATAAATCGTACAAACCCGTGCAATCCTCGCTGTTGGATTTGTTCTGTTTCTTTTTGTTGTTGTCTAGGATTTGTTAAAACCTGTATAAATTCGTTTGACGTATTTATTTCTTTTAAATTATCTTCTTGATCACTCATATCGTCTAAATCATTATCTTCATCTTCGTTACCACCACCATCACTGTCATCCGAATCATTGCGTGCTAATTCATGTAATTTTTGAACAACAGCCACTAATTCCTAAAAATGAACAATGTAAATAAGACACACTCCATGGGCATTGACATAAGCATAGAAATAAACATAACCGATTTGGTATTTCGTCTAACTACTATAGATCTACACAGAGCAATATATTTAAATTTATTGTCGTACAAAAATGTTGAATACTAAATCAGTGTTTGTTGACTCACATATTCAATATAATTTGATTTCTACCTTACAAAAAAAAACAACCTACCAACATCTTCCTTGAATACCGTAACGGTATGCGGATGAGTTCTGCGCAGGTCTTCCAGGATCTGCCACAATATTCCCTGAAGGTCTGTCTATAAAATATTTGCCTGTTAGAGTCAAACGTTAGACTTTCTCGCAGATCCTGCTGGCAGGCAATATTTCTTTATAGAGTAGCAACAAAGACACTACTTTCATGTCTAAAGTCTATCAGTCATAATAATGAACGATGAACAGTGCATTTATAGTTTAAGCGTGTTTTTTGAACGTGTGTTTTTACGCTAAAAGGATCGGTAGTGATACAGAAAGACCTGCGTTCATAATAGTAAAAGTTTTAGAGAAAAATACGATTACTCAGAAGATAAGAAACCGATAGAAAGTTTTGGTCAATTTCAACGTGTGGAAATTTCTCAAAAACTTTTTACCATTATCGAAAACTTTCAGTTTTATGGATAGATTCTGCACCTCATAAAAAGAACACTAGATACTGCCTTAACGAAAGAAAAAAATCCTCTCTAACTTCAGGTTTCCTTGGTACTACAATGGCCGGTCCAGGTTTGAAAGGAAATGGTGTTCGTTTGATATCAACAGGTGGTCTAAATAAAGATGAAAAAAATGTCATATACAATTTAGTAAGAATTTGTCTGAATGAATACTGACCTATTTTCTTCGGATAAAATTGGATTAATAACAACGCCCGAATAATTTTGATAACGATGATTATTGCTATTATCTTGAGATTGAACTTTAATATCTGATATTGAGTGACGATTTTGTTGAGATGTAACACCTAAAATGAAAAATAGTCTTATACAAATAAATCTGTGGTAAACAAATTGGATGTTAACAGAAATCCTTAACAATTTTCTGTAAATATATCATGATTGAGGAAGAGACTATAGATCAGAACTCCACGCCTGGAGTGTCATGTGTCTTACCAATCGGTGGTGGATACTGAGTGGAAGGCGATGCCGCTGATATACCAATCATTCCTTGTCCAATGTTTTGTCCATTTATAATATGTTGTGAATGTCGTTGATTGTTGTTGTTATTGTGAGCAGGAGGAACATTTGTGTACAAGGAAGGTTTGGATAATTGAGATTGTTGAACTTGTTTAAAATTTTGTCGTAATGTATTATTCTGTGGAGCTTTGGTGGTTGGATCCAATACTTCATCTTCTTCATTTACATCTAACGAAATAAACCAGAAATTATGAGTACGTTTTGCAGAAGAGAAATACTGATAAAGTACGATGATATATTTCAATCAGGGCCTATTATATTCAACTAAAACGTCTCTCGTTGAACTGGAAAAACTTCTGGCATCAAAATCCTTTTACACACACTATGGAGCAACATTACAGCTTTTCTTTCTACTACAATCCCAATTTGTAAACGTAACACTCTATAGTTCTGTTGTAAAGTATTCTTACCTAGATCATCGTCACTGGATGAATCGTCGTGTCCATGCCGTGAAGTGACAGGCTGAGTAACCATTGAGGGTGGCAACGGTACTTGTTGCTGTGCATTATGATGATGATGATGGTGAGCATGTGGATGTATTTCTTGGATTTGTGGTGGTGGCATTGGTAATGGCGCTTGAGCCTGTGCTTGACCTGCACCATGATGATGATGTTGCTGTTGTTGTTGTTGTTGTCGACTGTTATTGCCTCTTGTTTTACGAATTTTATCGATATATTCTTTAATTTGTAATTTAACAGTTCGTTCGTGATTATTTTGTATATCACGAATAAATTGATGTTTTAACAGTGTTTCGGTGAATGGACGTTGAGTATAGTCTTTGATTAGACATAATTCGACAAAATTATGAAATTTTTTTGACCTAAAATGTCGTCATGTCAATAACAGATGAGATTAAGAAAGAAAGTATAAGTACCATTTTGACTTTAATCTTGGAGCAGCATTTCGCGGTATTAGAAACAGAGCACGCATTGGATGCATATCACATAAAGCTAGAAAATACAGCAAACGTACTTAGCAGCAATTGACAAAAGAACTGTTTATTAATAGTAGCAATCTTAAGAAGCTAGACAATTATAGATAAATTTCAAGTTTTCAGAGGCACTTTTTTATAATTGCCGATTATAGCAGCCTCAAGCTATCAACAGAACTTACGTGGCTGTCCTTCAGCCATTTCAATTGCTGTAATTCCTAATGACCAAATATCACTCTAAAAACGAACAGACATTAATTATACACATGAAAGGAATAAGATCAAAATGAACGTACTCGATTGTCATATGTTGCTTCAGGATTTTCGTCGCATGCAATCACTTCAGGTCCCATCCTAGAATAAACAAATTCAATTACGAATTAGTCACAAAACAGAAGGTAGTTAACAACCAGTAGGTCTAGAACCATCCCACAGACTATTTATCGAAAAAATTCTACACATTTCTAAAAGAAAGTGTCAGAAAATCTTTATATGCGTCAAAACAATCCTGAGAAGAACGTTTGCACCCATAATCAGAAAACGTCATAGTTTGTAAACTAGTTACGCTTACTTATCATACGACAACATCGCTCTGATGTATTCTCTTAAGAATTTGTCTTTTTAAAAAACTCACTGTCTTCTTTTGAGGTGTTAGATAGTTCGGTCTGGTCTTCTTACGCTATATATTTCCTTCTAACGCATGCATCTCTCCTTGATCTTTGAAGTCTTAAAAAAATGAGGTAGTACAAAATACTTTTCTAAGAGGAGGACCATGGTCCACCCTCGGATCCATGTTGTCTACATAGAAAAAAACAAAAAGCATCTAGTGTCTACTCAAAACTCTGTACACTTTGTTCTCTAATAGGAGGAATATATAGATAAACACAATTACAAAAGGAGAAATATAAGCAAAATACTCGTACCAATAGGGTGTACCAATAAATGTATTTCGTCTTCCAATTGTTCGATCTAATTGTGCTGATACACCAAAATCAACTAGTTTCACTTCAGCATTTTCCGTTAACAGTACATTCTAAACAAAAAGATATTTAAAATAATAGTCTACCCACTGGCCAAGGATTCTGTAGAATCTCACTTGTCCTTTGATATCTCGATGTATAATTTTATTCTGATGTAAATGACAAAGTCCATTTAGAATTTCTTTACTAATATAGGCAATCCAATCTTCTTTTAATGAATTGGTTTTTGAAGATTTAACCAAATCTGTAACACTACCAGCACCACAAAATTCCATAACAAGCTAAAAATCAAGAAACATTCGTTAGCTGATACATGCAGAGCTTGAACGACGAGACTATTTACCCATAACTGATCATTCTCATTTCGTCCCATGACAGATTTTTTAATAAATGCACCATAGTACATTGCAATATTCCGGTGATTTGAATACTAAATTAAACCGAGAAAAAGTAAACATATGACACCATAAGATTTAAACATAACGTTTTACAGACAAAAAACATAGCTGAAACACATTTACATTCAAATAACTCAAAAAAACAATAAAGTCAGATTCACTATACGATGTTTTCATCAATATACAATTGCTCTTATTAATCAAAGTTTTCGTTTTTTTTCGGGCAGGCACTTACCTTTTTCAGTACATTCACTTCAAGTTTAATTTCTTCTTCTTCATCCTACAGAAAACAAACGAACAATAGAATAACATGCGAAAGAGGACAGAAGGTAATATAGGTCTAATGCATACTTCAGTAACATCCATAACTTTGATTGCAGCCAACTGACCGGTTTTCGTATGCCGACCCTAGAAGAAAAACGGAAAAAATTTCTATTCTGTATGAGAAACTGAGTTGCTGTTTTCTTGAGAAAACAAGCTTCCTGAATCATTTATTTACTATAAAAATTATTTGTCAACAGAGAGTAAAAGAATATCAGAAAATATCTTTATCTTAGTAGGAAAATAGATTGAAAGAAATTATTTAGAATAAAACACTGAGCATGATGTTATTGCAAGAAGTAAAGTGTTTTTGTATTGTACTCATTTTTCAGATATTATATAGTTTTCTTACTTTATAAACTTGACCGTATGTTCCATTTCCGACAACTTCAATTAATTCAAATATTCCAGCAGGATCCTATATTGACACCAAAGTAAAACAATATTATTGAGTTGTGCAAAAGAGGAAGAACAGTACCCTCAATTGTGTAAGATCAATTTCAATTTGATTATTATTCTGATTTGTATTATTAACTGACATAATTGCAAGACAAACAAAAAATACGTAAAAACATCACGACGACAAAATAATGTTGTAAAAAAGTATCGAAAGAAAAAAATTAGGTACGATGAAAAAACAATGGCTTTTAGACACTAGTGCCGATGTTAACGAATTAAACAACATTACTAATGTAATAAATATATAAATAAGTAAAAGCACTGCAATCTGAAACAAAATCAAACATCATAATACAATAAGCGACGAAATAAACATAAAACATTCCCACGCATTACAAGCAGTTTGTAAACAAATATTTCTCCTTAAAAAAAAAAGAAAAATTTCGTACAACAAAACGAGCAGCATTTCCAAAAATATGAACATTAATTCTTCTCAAACACAATTTTCCCACTGCGACTTCAATAGGATGCAATAGAACTAACAGTTAGACATGAGATTATAACTTTCCCTTTAATTTTTGATAGAACAGGAAACTAATCTTGCAGAAATAGGGCTGAATTAATCAATCAAAGATAAACAAAATTTTTGTTTATTGATTGAATAAACTAAAAGAATACGTTTAAGTGCGACCGTGCATATATTTGTGTTCAAGAAGAGAGTTAACTGAAAGAATTAACGGAAATTAAAACAGAACTTCTTTCTTGTTTTAACACTAATGTTATTTTGAAGTTTTTCAAAAACTATGTGCATAATAGACGCTGTAGAACTAAGTTTTCAGATAACTAAAACAGCACTAAACGGTGTTAGGAAGAACACATGATAGTGAACTATTTTACTACAATATTGAGCCCCATGAGACTTCCTTTTCCATATATCAATGAAAATCCAGTTGGTAGGTGAATAGCCAAATATATTCTAATGTAAAATGTTGTGTCAGTATTCTTGGAATAGATAAGAGAAGTAAGTTTAATCAAAATCTAGTAACAGTAATCAGTAACGCTAGAAAGTTTTTTCCGGGATGTCGCTAGTATATGCTACCACCATCTATCTGTTAAATGTTTTTATTCTTAGGCAAACCTCAACTGAGGTGAAAGATATGGTTGGGCATAAATAGTCAGAACCTTCAAAACTAACTAAAGATATAAAAATATAGAAAATAAGAATTAAGTAACAAGAATCTTAACTAGTTATAATGAACTACCCAGTTTCTAGTTAACTACAGAATATATTTGCTACTAGATGAAAAAACTGTGCTTATTTCGTACAGCTTTTCGTTTTTAAGCAAATTAAATTCATTCTCTAGTGAATGTACTGGAGATCAAGTACTTAGCTACTTGCAAATTTTCTAAAGTACTTGATTAAGCACTTGTCAAGCATTTTTAGATTTAATACATGCAAAAGATCTTGGAAGAACTTCGGTTACTTGCATATATTTCGCCAGTACTTACCAGGTTACATGCCAAATACTTGATGAAGTACTTATACTTGTTAAATTATTTGATAAGTACTTTTTTTACTTGCAAAAAACTCCAGGTATATTACTTATTCAAGTACATTCACTAGAGTTGGATGAACGTTTTAAGTTTAAACAAAAACAAAATGAGATTTCATTTTTTGTTTTCAAGTTTTACGGACAAGCTACGATCATCGAGCTATTTACAAAAACAGCGCGCTCTATACTGTAGAATGGTGTATATCTCGATGATCGTAGCTTGTTCGTAAAACTTGAAAACAAAAAATGAAATCTCATTTTATTTTTGTTTAAACTCAAAATTTTTATCCAATGAACTTAAGTTACTTAAAAACGAAAAATTGTACGAAATAAGCACATTTTTTTCATCACAGTTCACATACTAGAGGAATAGCGGAACAGCGATCGATCGGAATATATTTTGAAACGCTCTCTAAAAATTAATAACAAACAGTCGTGACTTAAAACTAATTATGAAGTTTTAAATTCGATCTTCCAACCTTCATACGTTGCACTTCTCCAACTTCTCATTTTCTCATTGTACTAAATTGTGCAAAAGGAAACTACGAGTTATGATGATACATTCGTATGAAGGTCGTACACATATGTATATATTTAAATAGTCTTTACAAGTAATCACTCACTCACATGTTACTAGCTATTCTATACATATGTCGACCTTATTTAGGTATATTATAGCTAGTAACATGTGAGTGATTGATTACTTGTAAAGACTATTTAAATATATAGATAAGTGTTACGGTCTTCATACGAATGTATCATCATAACTCGTAGTTTCCTTTTGCATAATTTAGTGCAATGGAAAAATACGTAGTTAGAGAAGTGCAACGTATGAAGGTCGGAAGATCGAATTCAAGAGAAGAACTTCAAAAATTGTTCTAATAAAACATCTCTCTTACAAATACTATTCCTCTAAACCATGGTGACAGAAACGATTCAAAATATTTTCAAGAATGAGTGGTGTTACTGAAAACGCACTTAAATAAGACGCGCTAAAATAAGATGTACTTAAATGAGAATGCGCTCAAATGAGACACACTCATGTGCCACCCTCTCAAATCAGTAGCTCTTTATCAATGTCTTTTTATTTATTTTATTGCACAAAAGCGCACCCATTTAATCTACAGATTTACAATTTAACAAAAAGTCAAAACTAAAAATAAGAAGAATAACCGGATCAAGTTTTGCATGTATCTAAATGATACCATTCTACAATATTCCACGGTAATATTTGACTAGACTGACGTTTATTTAAATAAAATAAAATATATTCGAGATAAGTTTGTGAAATAATCAATAGAGGAGAATTAACCATAAATAAAAGCATGTCCGCTTTATATGAATCAAATAAGTGAAGATTTTTAACGGTTAAATTAAATTGAACCATAGTAGATGTGGTTGTTTTCGATAATAATGTTGTTTCTGTTGTTGCTAATGATTGAAAATAATCTTTTAATTTTAATAACATAATATCGATTTTCGATGGTAATTTTGGTAATGGAGATGTCACAAGAGGTGATGCTAATTCGATGATGTCCTCATCGTTAGTTTCAACAATATCAGATGTGCTGATAATGGTAAGAGGAGAAGATACAGCTTCAGTAACAAAAGTTGTATTCTCGAGAATAGTTTCAGCTAAATAAAGAAAAATACTAACATGTTCAATTATTTTCAAATTTAACTATTAGTATTATATTAGTTTTTAGCTTATTCATCTACTAGTTTTGTGTTTTAGAGCTTCTTTTTGATTTTCAAAGAAATGTAGAAACAATAGAAGCTGGAAAAGCCAATAATTCTAATTTCCTTTCTTACGTGCCACAATTGTCTTTATTACCACGCATAACCCTACTTGCCCGTTTGCTCTTAACGAGTGGTCCAGATTAAATTGCCGGTTTTTGATAGGCTTTTTTCTCAAGTTAGACTCGACTAGAAAGTTTTTTTCTGTTGCCGAAAGATAGAGAATTTTGTGTAGATTTTACTGATATGTTCTTTTTTAAATAAGCATGTATCGTTCTTTTGTAGCATTAAAAGTATTGATGCGACTAAAATATCACTTGCTCAACTACAAAATCTGAAACGTGTAAAAATCATATTTGTCCAGCGAGATCGAGTTCAAAAATGCCTTTCTCGTAGTAAGAGATGCAGAATTTTTCGGTGTAACTCGTGCTGTGTTGGATTTGATAAGCTTAGTTACTTCTCCTTCGAAAACTACAAAACATCAAAAAGACGTTCACGGGCCATGGCATCCTCCTTTTCTTTAGCAATTTTTTCACAACTTGGCCTTACAAAAATTATCCTTTTTATGTAAACAGATGCAGAATTTAAAGCTCTACAAAATACTCTTCTTTATAAGGGCTGACCACTTTTCTAACCAAATGACGAAGTTCAAATGTTTTCATTGAGATGAAAGTGCGCGAAAAATAGATGATTAGGCATATTTTGTAGGCAGTTTGCAACACAGTAAAACTCACGAGGGAACTGATTTAATTGTCAAATCGTTTGTTTAATGAGATCTAGTGGATTATAGATTATCGATTATGCTGATTTCGAATATGACTAAGGCAGTTTCTTGTAGATGTCTAGAGATCCGGTTTTGGGAAAACCAGTTTTTCAGAAACCCTAAAAAATAGCCAAAACCTTTCTTAATGAGGCATAATTAGAGCCTGCACATTTCTGATTAAAATGGGACGTCTCACAGCTCTACAAGACCTTTCTTTGCAAAATTGCAGAATTTACAAGAAAAGTCCTAAATGTTCATTGTCAGCTTAAAGCTGCAGAAATAAGAAATTAATTTAGGGCTTTTCTTGTAAATTCTATAACTTTGCAAAGAAAGGTCGTGTAGAACTGGGAGATGTCTCATTTTAATCAGAAATGTGCGGGCTGCAATTATGCCTCATTAACAAAGGTTTTGGTTATTATTTAGAGTTTTTGAAAAACTGGTTTTCCAAAAACCGGATCTCTGGTGACCTATAAGTAACTGCCATGGTCATATACGGAATAAGCATAGTTGATAACCTATAACCCAGTTAAATCGGTTCGCTCGTCAGTCCAAAAATTTCGTTTTGTGTTTCAAAAACAAATACTGTACTTTTTCATAGTGCGTCTGAATAGCGTATAGAAAATTATTTAGCAAATAAAAATGACATTTTATTCTAGTCAGGTGCTGAGCAAATGATATTTTTGTAGCATCCAGTACTTTTAATGCTACAAAAGAACGATACATGCTTATTTAAAAAAGAACATATCAATAAAATCTACACAAAATTCTCTATCTGCAACAGAAAAAAACTTTCTAGTCGAGTCTAACTTGAGAGAAAAGCCTATAAAAAACCGGCAATTTAATCGGCCTACCCGTTACAAACTTTCCTCTACAATCGGAGTGTATTTTGCGAGTCAAATCACGATGATACGTGTTTTTAACAAAATCAATATACACGATTATTTTGTATGTTTTACTCACTCGGCAATGTTGTTATTTTCTTTATCAAAGGCAGTTGTTCAATACCAGATAATATCGATTTTGATATTGTTTTTGAAGCTTTCCGTTTCATGTTATTATTTATCATCAAATGATGCATATTATGTTCAGCTAAATAATCGTGATCATGTATCAAATGAAATACGATATCTTGTTGTTGTTTTAGTCGTTTTTTCAACGGCTTAACAGCTTCTAATACCCACGATGTTTGAGAATGTTTTCGTTTATTATGCACAATCATTTCATTTTGTTGTTGTTTCATCGGATTTAACAATGATGGTAAATATTGAGTTAATTCTTGATAAATTTTTTTACAATCATCAAATGTCAGACAAAAACATGAACGACTAGTTGATGCTTGACGATTATTACGTATAAGAAAATCACGTAAAAATTCTTGACATTGAATAATAAGACAATTACATTGTTTTGCATAATGTTTAATCAATGATAATTGAAGATTATTCAATAAATGTTTGGATAAATCGACTAGACGAATATGAATAATATTATCAATTAAAATAGACGGAATTTCAATGTTGTTAATGGTAGATATTGTTATTAGTCGATTATTCGTTAGCGACGAACGAGGTTGTTGTTGTTGCTGCGGTGGTGGTGGTAGTAGCGGTAGTGTTTCAGCTAACAGATCGTGTGTACTCATTGTCTGTGGATCACGACTATTGAAAGATAAACGAATAATAGCAAAATCGACATATAAAGAAGACAGTGAATGATATATTCAACAATTATATGAAAATTTATTTTATTTTAGTCCATAGATTATACAAAGAAATATTTACTTGAATAAATAATCAAATGAATCTGGAACATGAGAAGCAAGTGATGGATATTCAGTTGAGATTAAGAGACCGGCTTTTAAATTTTCTAATATTCCATTGATATTTGTTATATACGTTGTTGTATCGATAAGATTTGATGTCGATTGAATTGCAGAAGATGATGTTGTACATGGAAGAAGAGAAGATGTCGTTGATGATGGTGTTGGCCAAACAACGGAATCAAAATCAAGCATTTCATCTGATGTTGGTGTAGAAAATTTTGTTAGCGAACACGATTTTAAACTGTTCATATCAACTAAACAAAATCAGCTCTATGTCAGTCACGGTAAACAAATATTTAAAAAGTTATTAAGATATTGTTAAAAGTACTTACCAGTTTGTTCAGCGAATGTTAGTTCTTGTGGTATTTTATCTTGTTCATTTGGATTTAGACATTTTAATGATGATGGAACTCTAAAATCGAACTCTAGAATGGATAAATTTTGTACACCTCGATCAATAATTGTTGTTGAATACGATTGATTATATTTAAACTGTTCAATGTACAATTGATCATACAATTGCCAAAATGTTAGCAAATCTCCAAAGGTCAATTCAAACGGTGATGATTGTTCGCATGTTGATGACTGACTAAACATAAAAGAATCTTATATTTATTTCTATAACGTCTATTGTAACATGTTTAATGTTCTACTTTTAAAATGTCTCTTACTTGTAGGAGACAAAGATATAAAATGTTAAAAACGTTTCTTGCATATAACAAAATGATTTTATTAAACTCCGTTTGGTATTCTTAACAAATATAAGGTCCAAACTTACGTTAAGATTAATTCACCGATCGATTTTTTCCTCGTTTGTAGCTGTTTTTTAATTTGTTGTGATGTATTTATTTTCAATTTTTGCTGTTGTTGCTGAGCTAATCTTTGTTGCTCGGGTAATTTCGGTAATCCATCACATATTTGACATAACATACTTAAATTATCTAATTCAACTAAAACATCACCATCTGTCCATTGTTCAGGATTTGATGATGATAATACACTTTCATCAAATGTAAATGGTGGACTATGATTGCCTGATAGAATTGACTGTAAATCAGATGTAATACGATCGAATGATGTTGTTGGTGTAATTGTCATCACTGGTGTTGAATGAGAAGTAGTTGAGGATGTAGATGTTAGAATGTAATCATTTAAATCAGTTTCCATTATAAATTCTAAATAAAATGATGATTCTTTTTATGAATACATCTACAACAAGTATCAAACAAGAAGAATAAAAAATGGTTTCTTTGGTTCCGGGAACACCATTCTACTTTTGCTTTATTAGATAAAAAAATGTTACAAATACATTAAAATTATTTCCTCACATACAAAATACATCAAACCAAAAAAAAATAAAACGCCGTAGGTGGCAGTATTTCTCGTACCATTAAGTTGCTTTCACTTTGCAAAAAATCTATAATAGCTGCGAAAGTCATTTGATTGTATGCACAAATAAAAAACTAAAACATTAGTATGGTACCATGGTTCTCTCTTCGGCTAAAAATAATCTACTTGTAGCTGGACTATGTAAAAGTTTATTTTATTTTTAAATAATTGATTCTGTAAAAATTTCGACTGAAACGACGGTTGATCGCGATTGACTGATAGTAGAACAAAGTTTCATACTAACAGCAAGTGAAAATGATCTAAATAGTCGAAAATGGTTGGACGATCGATAATTCTAGTATAATGTCGATCCTTCTGTTGTGTTCACTAAACAACAGCATTCTCAATTCTCTTCTCATTTTGTTGAAGTCGGGTCTTATTTGTTGTTTCTATAAAATTTCGATACCATTTTGAACGTATGTTTTGAATCAATTTGGATCTTATTCACACTTGTCTCATCTCTTTAATCAGATCCATTGACGTATACATATATAACCATGATTAATACCATTCACATTTATTTCCGTACGTAGAAAACCCATGTACTATGAATTACGATCATATTGAGGTCTACTAGAAGAACAAACAAAAAATACTTATACTCTCACACATTTCTCACAGTTGATATTCACTAATGATCCATTTTCTGCCTCATGTTGATGTACTCAACTTACCAATACTGTTTTGTAATCTAATCGAATTTGTTACTTGATATTTTCAATTCTTTCTTCTCAACATTTCGTTGAAATGTTTCAAATTAGCAAATAAAAATATTGTAGCACATTTATATTAACAATTACAGTACCAATCGCATGAACAACTAATCGATTTAGAACAAAACATTTTCTAGTAGATAAATTCCAGCAGTAACACACACATTTAATTCTATCTTGAAAACAATTTTATTTTGACGCATAAATAGGGTATTTTCTTTGAAAGAGAGAAAAAACCAATGATCATCAACAAGTTAGTTGAAGGTATAATGCTTAGAATAAATATTGATAAACGTATACAAAACTTGATAGAGTTCAGACCTTTTCAACAAACAAACATCAGGTGTAGATATTTTAGACTCAGCAACGTTAAAACTCGTAAAAAACTACAAAAAGAAGATAGTACAACAGCATAGTTCAGATCAAATATAAGAAAGAAGTGCTAGCTACTAAACTTCGCCATAGTGTGGTGTACGAATCGCTCATTTATCCAAACGACTTATTGGTTTCTTCAACAAAGTACACTGTTTGTGAATATGTAGAGAGCAAAATGCACTTAAGTGGAAAAATCATTCATTTTTAATGAAATATGGAGATCACCGCATTTGAATTTTAATTAAAGTCAGTAAAAACTCACGCATGTGTCGAATTTTTATTAAGTTTATAATTTATAATTGATTAAGCAGTTCACTATACTATACTGTCGAATCTATCTTTCTTCTATCCTTCTTAAACTTGATTATTGTTGTGCCTTATACGATAATTCTTTCTCGCTTTCTGTACTTGATTCTGTACATAAACTTGCTTCTCGTGTTATTTCTCGTAATTTTGATTATCGCTTTTTTTAGCTCGTTACTTGTGTCACAACTTTCTCTTCCAAACCTCTCACTATGCCGTAAATATTTTCGATTCGTGCAGTTTTTCAAAATTTATCATCGTCCTCTTTCCATCTTTTACTCTGTTCATCGCCTTCATTACTCTTCTTTACGTTGTCATCATTCTAAATATGTTCGCATTCCAACCTCTGTCAATGGTTTTTCTTCTCAAACAGTTTTCTCTTCTTTTTTCTGTTCAACTATTACTGACTGAAATAAACTTCCTGAATCAGTTATTTATTTTTCTTCATTAGCGTCTTTCAAAAAGGTACTAGTTCAGTATCTCTAACAGTAAAATTCAGCCGTATTCCCAGTCATAATTAACTTGTATTAGATATTTTTCTCTAACGTTACTTTATTTTTATTTATTTTTTCATCGTTTACTTTTATATCTATGTTGCATATTCTAGGTTCGTTTTCTTTTGTTTATTTCTGTTATTATTTTTGTTTCCCTATCACATTTTTATTTTGGCTTGAGTCATTGCTATTACAGATCATGGACCTTTGATGACTATCACTTTTCGTGAATAAACATTTATTTTACTAAATTTTATCAATAAAAAATATTTTTATCCTCATATTTAGAAGATTAAAATTAATTTAATATTCGTCTTTTCATTCTGTTACTTTTGATTTAGAAATTTGATGTCTCTCTGTAAACAAACGGATACTTCTAGTTTAATGCACAATGAAAATAACGGCAGTTTACTAAATAGAAAAAGTAATGAGAACGCTTATCAGATTATTCTAGGTCTTAATAATATGTGTTTTCTTTTATACATTGTATATATTTACTTATTACGTTATTATTCTCTAGCTAAACATTTTAAGCAACAACAGTGAGTGGTCAGATATATAAACCAGCTGGCTTTCGTGAGATTACCTTCATTTTTTGAAACACACTACTAATGCTTGAAAATTCAAGAAATAATAGGTTCTTTGCTTAACAACATTAGTAGACAGGTCCTTTCAAATTACATGGTCAATCCATCTTTTATAGCAATAGTTTAGTCTGTGTTCAGTAGCTCCATCTATAATCCTCTGACACCTTAAATGTTGTACTTAACATGAAGTGACAGTGTTGTAACAAGATAAACAGCTGGAGGATGTAAATATTTATGAAGAAAGCGCATTTTTTTGAAATATTGATTTGATTTACCATTGAATCTGGAAACAATGTGAAATACAATTTTAGAATAAAACAGAGGAAGCTGATTTCATGGAGTTAGTACCAGTTGGTACGCGACTTTGTCACAGATTTTGAAATTCTTTTTGAAGCCCCATGTATGGGAGTAACAGGTAATACTTTGAAATATTTCGTAGATATTGGTATCATAGGAGACTTTATGTCGACATTTTAATAGTTAAAGCTTTAGGGATGTCAGAGGCACGTATATTCCCAGGGGTTTACAGGGTAAATAATAAGAATTTACAGATAATTTCTGGAAAACAAGTAAGAAATCCGAGTAAAACTTCTTGTACCCAAGATTAAGAAATGTTATAAAATCTTGGAAAAAACATTAAGAAGTTAAGATCTTATGTTACAGATGGAATATCTCCATTAAACTGAAACGAAAATGTAATCATCTCTCTATGTTCTATTTAACAGTTAAGTTGAAAAATCAATTAAATATCTTTACATAGAAGTAGAAAGTTTTAAATCTTCGACGGAGATTTCTACATTTTTTGCAACTGTGGTCTTGTGTTTGTTTTCTTTGGAAAAATCAAATTCTCAAGATCTCTTCGATATTTTTTCGATATTAACGGCAACATGACTGCGAAAAACTCAAACAATGTCTCTACTCTAATTATTTTCAAAATTCAGCATAATTCCACAAGGAACTTTATACTTTTCCATAGGCAAAATTACTCGACGAACATAAAAACATTTTGTACATTTAGAATACAGTTTTGTAGTGAACAATACAGTTCACTACAGATAAGTCTTTTGTCTCTAATTCGGATTCAGAGTAAAAAGAAGCTTTATACTGCTGATGCGATTTTTAGTACTGAATCTGATCCAGAGCTAAAATTCTCATTCAAAAGTTCCAAAATTAGAAAGTTTCGTACAATTAGTATACGATTTAACAGAATATATCATTTATAACATATTCCAAATTTTATTTCAAGTTTAAAGCTTAAAAGAAGTAGTTAGTATCAATTTTCTGATATAGATACACTTTTTAACATTATCAAAATGTCAAGTATAGATGACTCCCGTATGACTCAAATAGAAATGATAAAGAGTCATTTTAGATAAACGTCAAAGCAAACGAATGTTTTGAAATGAAAAGAGACCTCAGTATTTCTTCAAATGTAATATTTTGTCTTTTAAAAATAATCGATATAAGATGCACTCCTACGTTAGAATAAGTTTGCTTTTGTTGGTGAAATTAGCATTATGTGTATTGGGTGATAATCCGTGTGTCTATATTGGTACACAGGGTATAATCAATTTGACACTGGTCGGCGACAGTCATGGTGAACCAGCATTCAAAGATTATGGTCAAAGTGGAATGCCAGATTATTATCGATATTCGTATAATCCGTGCTATTCATTTAATGAACTCAATTGTATAAATTCAGCCGGATGTCAAGGTAATTTTTTTAGATCGTTTTTTTGGTTGTTGCTCTATTAAATAGATGCTATTAGATATTACGTGTGAACTAGTGCTTTTTAGTCGCAAAAGACAAATCATACTCATTGACTATTGGTACTCAGAACAGCACGAGTTGGATAGTATCAGCAAGTGGTGCAGCAAGTCTAGTATATAAAGCGGGACCAAAGACTATGATTGTTGATTTACAATGTGTTGATGGTCCCAACCAACTGATAGTTAATGGTGAAAAAACTATTAATGAATATCATATGACATTACAAAGCAAATGTGCCTGCTGGAATGGATGTTTACCTCCGAAACCTGTATCCAATGCTTGTTTTTATATTCATCCTCAATTGGGAACAATCAATTTAACATCTATTGGGAAGACGAATGGTAAACCTCGATTTAAAGATATAAAATCAACACTATTGAGTAGTTCTCTCTGGTCATATAATCCATGTTTTCAATTTACTGAATACAATTGTCAAAATGCAGCTGCATGTCAAAGTAGGATTTCTCAAATAAATATATTTTTATCAGACTAATATTTAATATTTTCTATAGTTGATCGAAAATCAAAACTTGCTAATATTATTGGTGAACAAGACAATGTTCAATGGGAAAATATATACACAAATCCAACAATTATTTATCACACAGCCAATCGGCAACGTTCATTATCAGTAGAACTAATTTGTAATGATAACAAAGATGCTTCGAATGATTTAGAAGTGATTGGTGAAATATCAGGAAATGAATTTTATATGAAATTGAGAAGTAAATGCGCCTGCTGGAATGGATGTCCTTCGAACAAACCATCATCTAGTAAATTTCCATTAATTGTGTGTGGTATTGGTATCATAGCAATTATTTTTTTTGTCAGTCTAATAAGCTGTCTAATTTGGTCAAAACCTCATTCTACACTTACCAGAATAACAAAACGATATATTATTGATGAAAAAGCACCGATACTCATCAATGATGCTAAATTAATTAAACATTAATCACTGATGGTTCTTCTATACATACTGCAATCGTTAGTAAAAACTTTAGTGTGTTAGTAAAAAATAAAATTCATCAATGAATAGAGTTTACAGTTGAAAAGAAATTACTTGTATTTTTGACGTAGCGAATGCTGAAAAATTTGAAATCAGTGTATATATTTGACGACAGCATAATTTTTATAATTTGATTAGATAAATGTTTCTATATTCTTTAATTTTGTCATCTTTTTTCTTTGCCCAAGTGTGCACTGTTGTCATCCTCGTTTAATTTTTTATACATAAATCAGAATTGGGACTCGTATAAAAAGTTGTACTAGCATCGGTCTGGCCAGTATGAATACCATTTCAGTATCGGTTTTCCGGTAAACCGACCGGTGTAAAACTAGTAAAAAATCTGGCGAGAAAAAAATTTAAAAAGCGAAGAAAATCAGTCGGAACTTGAGGCATTGTGGGAGTCCGTCCTAGAGCAACGAAATTTTAGTTTTTTTCGATTTCTCCTGCTTTTAGTGCATCAGAATTGATCATTATTTAGTAGAATGTTACGATACAAATCCACAATAAAAAGTATAGTTACTTTAAATCGATAGGTTTTTCAGTTGTCGATCAGTATAAGAAAGAACGCTTTCTTATATTTACTTTTCAAAAAAAAGTTAGGTTGAAAGTACATAAAAAAAATAATTTTTCATACTGGTGTATACTGGCCGGTGTAATGAGTAAATCGGTACTGAACTGATTCTAACTCCGACATAAACTGAATACTACTCAGTCGTATATTTAAAAGAGTTCACAGTTTTCTATCCCAGTTCACAGTGGGCATCCAGACGGACATTAGGTGAAAAATCGAAAGTAAAGATTTTAATATTTCGGTTGTTGACAAGTATACTTCCATAAAGGGGCCATCTAATCGTGTATGAATGGTTGCTAAAACCTGAAGCGATGTGGAGAAACAAGTGTTTAGAAAACGGCATGGAAACTACCGACTATCATTGCTCTGGACTTGAAATGCCAGTGTTCGCGTT